GTGTGTGTGTGTGTGTGTGTGTGTGTGTGTGTGTGTTAAGCCAGTTGTGTATGCGTGCATGTGTGTGTGTTTAATTGGACCTCCCTGAGCCAGTCTCCAGGTGACGGAACTCATCTGCTCTTCCCCTGATTAAGGACAACAGATGGACTGGTATCACAACACACACACACACACACACACACACACACACACACACACACACACACACACACACACACACACACACACACACACACACACACACACACACACACACACACACACACTCACACACACACAGACAGAATACTTCCACAGTCATGAGTCATCATCAAACACATTGAACACACACATACTGTACAAGGCATGTGGCCTGTAATCAATACCAAACACACAGAGTGGAAATATATCTGGCCCCTACAGTAGACGTCCATGCATCAAGCTCAAATGACCCCTCAGTGCCTCAGTCAATACAGACTTCATCATCACCACCCTCCTCATCCTCGCCATCACCACCATGATGCCTTTCTGACTCTCCACTGTCCTCCTCCATCTGTTTGACTGACAGAGATTATAAGTTAATTTATATAACCAGCAAAACCTAATGAGATTTTTAAAAAAAAGTCTAATTCAAGAAAGACGTGGCCAAAAACTAACAATGTGACCAGCATAGCAATCTGCTTTCCTGTTGCAAAATGAGTCATATTTGAAAATAAATAATATATAATTCATGAATATTTTTACTCTCTCGCGTTGACTCACAAAAAGACTGAAACACACACAGACAATCTTTGAATAAGATGTCTTTAAAGCACATACCTTTTAATGTAATATCACTGTAAGCACCAATTTTATAGAAAGAAAAAAGAAAGAAAGAAGAGAAACTAATCTTTCCTTTTTCTATCCTTGATGGATAACACTGACATACTGAATGGATTTCAGAACTCTGTAAGTAAAAGATGGATATCAAAATACATTAATGTACATATTTGAGTATTCATTTTAAAAACAACTATATTTATTATAGTACGATTAATATGTATTTGCATTGAGATTTCAATAACTCTGAAGATGTTTTAAATTCACATTTTGTCTTTTATTTTATCCAACATCATTTCCCCACATTGTCTAATTTCCCACAGATTCTGAGTCATTATCCATTATCCTCAAGTATCAATTTAACAACTCAGTGGGACCAAGTCTCTGCAACAACAGACCACATTAGCTCCAATAAACTCCAGTGGCAGGGTAGATAGACTTGATCTTTAAGTGGTTTATCTCTGTAGATCTGAGTCATCCACTGAGCTTCCTCTAACCTTTAACAGATGTTCAGCAACTTTCCAACAGCCCTGAGTCAGTGTGTCCTGCAGTACACCTGCCTCATTAAAACACAGCAGTACTTGTAAGGACACAAACGCAGTAATGTGTATTTTCTCACACTCTGGGACTAATTAAATCATATTTATACGATGGCATTCAGCTGATACAGTGCGTTTTCCTCAGATTATGAACCACGAAACATGCATTCATTTTAAGCTTCCAGGCTGTAGTTTATGTAAAGGTCAAACTTGACAACAATGTTATGGCTTTAAAAAATTAAATCAACAGAAAGCTTGAATCAAACGTGGTGCCATGTGCAAACACATCAGAAGCATCTGCTTTTTAATATTAAAGTGAGATTATTAAACTTGTACTTGGGGACGGAAAGGGAGACGGGACAAAAACATTGTGAGGCTGAATAAATGAAGTCTACACAGCTGATGACTCGTTAACTTCTCAAATGATCTTTGTTGTTCTTACATAATATCGACACGGAGCGGAGACAATCCTCGATCTCGCAGTAAAACTTGTCAATGAACCCAGTGTGACCCTGGAGCAGATATTACTCTACTCCCATATTAATCCGGCACTCACTGTAAAACACTCCATTTGGTCTACATCCATTTGCCTTCAGGGCCACATTAATGATAATTACGAGGCTCTCAGCATGCTAGTTAATATCCCCCCATATAATCCATGTCATCCAAGTAAAAAAGCAAAGATAGAAAATGCTTAGCAGGTGATAAAAGAAGAGGGAAACCAAAAAAGAAGTACACATGGACTCCCAAAACAACCCCCAAAAAAAATAACAAAAACAAAAAAACACATGCACAATATTTAAAATACACAGCTGAATCAAATCGATGAGTGCTTTAAAAAAAAAAAAACATAACAATTTCCATTCTTATCTCCCCAAAACATGGCGACTCGCCTCACACACACATAAACTAAACACACACACACACACACACACACGCTCAAAAAATGAAGAGAGAAAGGGAGGAAGGAGGAGAATGAAAGACAGAAAGAGAAAGAGAAAGGGGGGGGGGTGATAACAGCTTCAATAAATCATCCGGGCCAGTCGCCGCTCCCCGGGGATGTGGGATGGATTAAATTAAGCACTCCCTCTACCCGTGTGTCTATCCATCCCTCCATCTCCACCTCTCTCTCTCTCTCTCTCTCTCTCTCTCTCTCTCTCTCTCTCCCCGCGCCGTATAAATGCCAACAGCTGATCGCGAGACGGCACACTCACGGGAACACCTCGCGGAAGCTGCAGAAAGAGAGAGACCGAGGGGAAGAGAGTGAGAGAAGAGAGAGAGAGGGATACACAGAGAGAGAGAGAGAGAGAGAGGGGGGATGCTGTTGATCCACTCGGCCGCAGGGAGTCTTACTGTGCTCTTCTACCGACTTGAGTAAGTCGTCATTAACGGGAACTAAGGACTACTTCTGCGGCAGGAGAGGGAAGGACAAGGTGTCCGACATCTTTTTTGAAAAGCTTCCAAAAATCGTCCCTCCGTTGTTTTATTTTCTTCGCATCCCTCCCTCCTCCTCTTCCTCCTCCTCTTCCTCCTCTTCCTCTTCTTTAAAGAGGGCTGAGAGCCGTCGCGCGCGCTGCAGGGTGTCTTCCACCGCCTCTTGTTTTGTTTTTTGTTTTTTTTTTGTTGTTGTTGTTGTTGTTTTTTGTTTAAACTGCTCACGAGCCTCTCTGCCCGCGAGCGCAGAGACCCCCGAGGCACCCCCCTCCCCTCCTCCCCTCCTCCCCCCCAGGAGGGAGCTGTCCGGTGCTGAAGTTGCATTTCTCACCTTTTTTTTTGTTGTTGTTGCAAGGGGGACTAACGCGGGGAGACAGAAGAAAGCCAGAGAGACTGAAACTGGAAAAAAAAAGAAATAATAAAATAAGCGGTCAACTATTTTACCGGATCAATTCACAGCTCGCGCTTCCCTCCAAAACCCCCTGAAGACAATCTTCCTCCCGGTTTTTCGCCTTCATCTTGTTGGTGTGTGACGGGCGACTCACCGAGCACGCTGGCCAGGCCGTCGGCGATCGGCTGTGTTTGTGAGTGTGTGTCGTTGTGTTTGTGACAGTGTGTGTGTGTGCGTGTGTGTGTGTGTGTGTGTGTCGGGTGTCGCACCACCATGCCAAGGTCTTTCTTGGTGAAAAAGGTGAAATTGGATGATTTCTCCACCGGGGCGGATTTGGAGAACGCCTACCGGCACAGGACAGACCTCAGCCTGCGGCTTCATGACAAAGGTAGGTCAGGCTTCCAACACACGCAGCATTAACAGGTGTCTCAAAAAAAAACCAAGTCGCTCTGACAAGAGGAAGAGAAGGAGGAGGAGGAGGAGGGTGACAGGCAGGGGAGCCTAACGAGGTCCATAATAAGGCTACATCTATGTGACTAAGTGGTGGATTTTACCTGTTGTGTCCTGGAGGGATTCCCTCACTCAGATTGTCCACCGACCCCAGTGGTTGACACTTTGGTGCAGACCTGCAACTCCTGACTGAAGAGACTATTGTTTGGTGTTTGCATGAAGCATTTTATTCCCCGTGGCATCACCTGTTCTTATAACATCCTCTGTAAGCCTTTCTATTAGAAACTCCTCCCAGAGTGGTGGGTACCTGTAGGGTGATGTGACTGTACTGGAAGCAGACATGCAGCCTATAGTCACTGATTACAGCACAACAGCAGACAGCACAGTGTTATCACCTAGTTATTACCGTCCTCATGGGTAATAAAAGCTTTCAAAGCCCCACACTAAGCAGTCCTCTGCAAAATAAGTAATTACACTTCACTGCAGAGGACTGTAAGAGCTCAGAGAACAGGATGAGATAGGATACGGTAAAACTGCCAATCTCAGTAACCACTACACCCTCCTCAGTGAGTGTTACCACACCACATAGTCTAAGGCTTTATTTACTGGGCGTGTAGAAGCTTAAACAGGCTTGATTTTAAGCGTTTGGATTGGTTGTAGGAGTTGAGTTGCCACTGGAGCAGAAAGGTCACTTGAGAAATCAACTAAATCCAGCACGTCCCATGTTTAATCGATTTTGGCTCATAGTCAGTGGGGACTTTTCCCCCCTACGCAGGCTAAGTAAGGTTAAAAAGAGATAAAGACAGGACTGTGCTTATTAATATCTGGTCCACTTCCTCTTGGTTTGGTGGAATGAACAAAAAGAAAGGCTCAGTATAAATGTTCTCCTCATGAGGACCTGCTTCTGCAAGTTCACTGTGATGCTATTTAAGATGTTGCATGAAAGCTCTTCCTCTTGTATCCTATAGGTTGGCTGTAGATGTTTTACACAGAAATTAATCTGACAAAACATAGTAACACATGATATCTAATAATAGTTTATATCATTTAAGCTTCCACTGCCAAATTTCTCCACCAACCGCCTCCAGGTACAGCACAAATAAGCAGCGGTTTAGTAATACTTTATGTAACAATGCTGTGACCAGAAACCTTTGTGTTTTCCTGACTTGATTGCATAAAAGAATTTGCCCCATTGCAGGCTCATATCCATGTTCTTTATGGGGATCTTTATCTGTGCTCCGTCTCCAGGTATATACCAGTCCCCCTTTTTGCAGTGTCGGCAGATTTTTGCACAACAAAATAAATGCATTACTCTTTGTGTACCTTCAACAGCTGCAACAAGAAAACTGGATCAACACTGACATTCCTGACTAGAGTCACAGATGAACTGTTGAATACAAGTTAATGGGAACAGAAAGTAACATTTCTATCCCAAGGGATTCAATATGTTGGGCTGTCTTGGTATAACTGTTGAACATGGATTCAAATGTATTTTTAGATTTACTCTTTAGGGCTAACAAAGCAGGGCTCCACTGCAATTATCCTGTGGACAGTGTGATTCATTTTGCTCTAAAGCCGTGAACTTCCTCACACCCTGAAACTGTGTGCATCACATTTTACATGGACAACCAGAGATGCCTTTGCCATGTAAATTCAGCCACTGCATCGCTTCCGCCCCAGTGTCATTGACACGATGGTGCACATCAACATGTGTATTCTGTGTGCGGCCTTGCCTGCATTTCTCTACTCGTAAAGCAAAAAGCTGTCAGTGGTGTATTTATAATGTCGAGGTTAACAAGCCCTGCTCGGCTTGACATGCGATCTGCCGCCTCAGCAGCACCGTGCAACGCTGCCTGTCCTGGCCACCTCTTGTCTCCCTCTCTAACATCCGATGATAACTGCTTAATGCAGCTTCTACATACAGTATAGCACATGCTCTACCCACAACAGTGCTCCATGCTAGGAACAACTCCCTGCTTTTGGAATAATTTATATCCCACCCGTGTTCTGTGCCTTGTGCCGTGTGATGGGACTTGTGTATTCAGATGGGACGCAGTTGCAGATATGTAGTAGCTGTTATCGTATGGAGACAGATACTGTATGTGCTGCCACATAGAGCTTGTTGCTTTTGAACCTTACTCCAAAATCCTCTGAGAAACTGGATGAATAATAACATCAATTTATTAAAGGAAAAAAAAGTGAAATACTAAATTCTTTCCAACGGTGTACCACCAGATATTTTGATGATGCATATGATGAACTGTGATTGCAACAAGTTTCCCTTTAACTAAAACATACATAAAAAGGTCCAAAAAACAAACGATATCAGTCTTGATATACTGCAGAATAGCTTTTTATTATTTCCTTGCCTATTTTCCTGTGTATCTGTGGTATGTTGTTATTTGGTTGGCTTAATATAGATGTAACTGCTAACAAGTTAAATTAGGAGTAGGCACTGGGTTTATTTCAGGTGTATATAAGATAGAGAGAAAAAAAGAGAAGAGAGCCTATATTGCTACTATTCTGTATGCAATGTCACAGGTTTTGTTTATGGATGCCTGTGTTCAGGGACAGTTAAGTGTGCATTTAAGCTAATAACCCATCAGTTGTGTTTATTCAGACCACCATACCAAACCTTCGCTGTCACACAGATGAGCAGAAAACAACACGTGTGTAATGACATACTTGTAGATCCACACTCAAAAACCATGTGTTCAGACTGACTATCAGTGAACCAAATCTAAAAGTATTTTATAATGTGTGCGCCTGTATATATTTATGCTAGTTATTATGTATTTATGTACACTACTGTATGGTACATAATTATGCATTTCTATATTTAGCTAATTATGTAGACATATGAAGACAAGAGGGATTAGTAGCATCCTCCAACCTGCTCATATATATCTATACTGTTTCAGAATGAGTTTCAGTCACTGTATTTTGCCTAAAAAGCTTGTCGTGCAAGTCTTCAACCCCCTGATCTGTACAATCCCCCCACACTGTTGACTGCACTGATTGAGCCTGCACAGCAGCCTCGCTGTCACTGTGCCAGCCACCTGCACTGCACTGGATCTGTCCGTGGTGCTGATGCTCATTTTCACACTCTAAATCAGCTTTCTCAAGTTCAGGGTCAGCCTGTGTGCATTTATCTTTCACAGAGGAAGTGTTTTAACTGCAACCTTTGAGAACTAAGAGGAATTATATTGCTGAATTGTCTCTGGACTAATATTGCAGGCTTTTTTCACACTCTACTACTGGCCACAGGTGTGCAGGAGAGAGACAGATGTTCTGTGTTACAATAAAAGACTCTCACATATGTTAGAAGTTGTTAAAAGTAGTTACAGTTGGTGCTGCTTTACTGATGGTGAGAATCGTCTCTTACCACTTATGCAGGGCAAATGCAGGGAATGGGGCTTCGCCATAGTTGCTGCAGTATTACTCCAGGGCAGATACATACTGGAGGACTGTGACTGTATTCTGTGGACTTCAGTTAGTGTGGAAGTTTTTACCAGTTCATTTAGAGTGAGAGGAGATGCCTTCTAAAAACAGCATGGTGCCATTTATCGAAAAAACAATACTGCATATCACCACAGATGATCTTGTGGTTTAATGTACTGGAATCACATATAAAACTACAGACCTAGGATCAGATTTTACTGGAACCTTCTGTTTGTTGTCATCTTCGGTTTACTGCTCTTTCCGTTTAAAGGAAAAATGCATCTGGTTTCTCGACACATCCCGTCTGTCATGTAAGCATTTGTGTCCAACCATAGCACTTAGTGAACAGCTTAATGGTGTTTCTACATACACATACAATAACATGTTAGGAACAAGACTGAATGAACCAGACCATTGGAATATTTATGTCAACCCATCCTCACTGTGTTTTGTTTCATAATAAATGCACTCAAGTGGTATGCAGACGCAGGAAAAAACACACCATACAGCTGTATAATGCAAGCTTTAGATCAGTTCAGGGTGTTAACATCACCAAGCAAGCACTTATTTAATTCCACCAATTCAGACTGTGTAATGCTGGTCAGTATACTGAATCTCCATCATTACTGTCTCTGTGAAGAAAGATAGGCTCGAGAAAAGAGGACTATCTGATTTCACTCTGCTCTTCCTGTCCAGCTGGCTACAGCAGTCTAATGGCGTTAATCCAAACTTTGTTCCCTGTTGTCTCCCTGTTAGACAGACGTGCAGTAGCGAATGTCCTTTTCCTACTGGTATATGAACCAAAGGTCTCTGCTGTGTTGGGGGATCATTTTTGCGCTTGAGCCCCTCTGTGCACATTTTGTTATAAGTTATGTCATGGCTACATCAGAGACGATCTGTATATCTCCGTTTCCCATGCTAGGCTTCATTGTAAACCCATTTATTACACCTTCCACCAGAGTGTTCTACAACCTAACACTGTTTTCTTTTCCACATCAGCTGGTTACATCAGCGACTACATCAGCCCTGTTGTGTACGATGGTGAGAGTGACAGTGGGATCAAGGTGCCCTCACCCGACCCCCTCTATGATGGCATCCACAGTGACTACGGGGCCCCTGACTCTGAATCCCCTGACAGTCCCGGCTCAGAAATCACTGACGGTTACATCAACGGAGATGCTGCTGTGAGTGAGGGTTACACAGTCGATGCCTTCTTCATCACCGATGGCCGCTCGAGGAGGAAAGCTCTCAGCAGTCCCAGGACCATCCAGAGGCACACCTGCAACGAGTGCGGCAAAACCTACGCCACGTCTTCCAACCTGAGCCGGCACAAACAGACACACCGCTCGCTGGACAGCAAGCTGGCAAAGAAATGTCCGACCTGCGGGAAGGTGTACGTGTCCATGCCCGCCATGGCCATGCACCTGCTCACTCACGACCTCAAGCACAAGTGTGATGTGTGTGGGAAAGCGTTCAGTCGACCCTGGCTTTTACAGGGCCACATGCGCTCTCACACGGGCGAGAAGCCGTTCGGATGTGCCCACTGCGGGAAGGCCTTCGCAGACCGCTCGAACCTGCGCGCTCACATGCAGACCCACTCGGCCTTCAAACACTTCAAGTGCAAACGCTGCAACAAGACCTTCGCGCTCAAGAGTTACCTGAACAAGCACTACGAGTCTGCCTGCTTCAAAGGCCCCTTCTCTCCTCTAGGTCCCCTAGATGCATGACCCCCCTGCATAGATAAAACAACTGACAAAACTGCAGACATAAATTATCCTTACAGACTGACCTGCAGACACAAACAATCTATTTTTGGTCAGAATATGACCTTGCTTTCCCGCCTTCCCTTTCTCTCACTTGCCCCTTACCTTGCTTTCCCTTGGAGCCTACTCATGATGATGAAGATGACGAAGATAGCACAATTTTTCCTCCTTGAGATTTGCCCACTTAAGGATTTAACTGATCTACGCATGCACTTCCTCAAAAACTGTTCACCTCCTCTTCCTCTGTCTGTTCTGGATAGAGACAATAATACTAACATGGCTTCCATCTGGCATCTAGATACAGTATGGCACCATATATTTTGGGACACTGATGGTGATGAGGATGACGACAAAGACAATAGTAAGCCTATAGCTACTGGGTTCCTCCCTGCACTGAAACACAGTGAAAGAGTTTTTCCTTCTGATTTTGTTTTTTGGGGGAATAATAGTAATAATAATAGTAATAATAATGATAATAATAATAATAATGTTCTGCTGCACCAAGTGACCATATTCTCTCCACTACTGAGGTAAAAAACACTATTTATTTATTTACTTATTTATTTGAGCATTTTTCCTTTTTTATTTATTATATGTTTATACTTGATTTGATAACAATGAAGTGATACCGTTAAGTTATTTGTTGCACTTTAATTTCTGTATATGTATGTAGGATATTTGCCAACCTCTTTCTATCACTACAGGCCAAAGCATATGTCACTTTTTTTGGTACTATTTTTTCCTATTATGTTGTTTATCTTTTTTCTTATTAACGTTTTTGCATGCAAAAAAAAAAAAAATGAAATCTATGCCAACATCATAAAAAGCTTATGATTTCTGCCAAAATCCTATAGATAGAACCTGAGGGCAATATTTTTCTCTTGGAGCCTCCGTAGGACTCTTTAAAAGCAATAATCACCTAATGCATGGTATTTTATGATGAAATTATGAAGTATTACCTACTACTGTATAGCAGTTTAAAAATCAGGTATGTTTTACTTCACCTATAGTCATAAACAGAAAAATACTAATATTACAGACATCAGGGAACATGCCAACGTAGTGTTAGAGTAACAAAAATAAAAGTCCTGTCTTTCCTCTCTTGTTATGCACTGCCTGCCTCTTAGTGAGTAGAACTAATGTAGGATGTAGGCTAGAGAGGCTGGGATCAGCTGCCTGCTGGGTGTGAGGCCTATTGTAGGATAACTATAACCCTGACAGACCTGCTCTAGGCTATCTCTAGAATGAAATAAGCCTGCTAACAATAACCAACAGAGGCCTAGTTTTTGGATTAGGCCTCCACATATTTCACTCAGATTGGATCATTGACCATTCATGACCTCAATGGTTTATTAAAGGTTCTGTTATGTTAAAATGGCACTTATATGTGTTAAAAACATCTTTCCTGTGTCATGCCGCCAAATAATGTAACAACAGGCCTTTAACAGACCTTTCAATAACCATAACAGACCAATCGTATTCTTTTAAACAAACAATACAAGATTAATACAGCGATCAGATTGGAGAACTCTACAAGTAAATGTGCAGCGACACAAAATGATATTTAGGATACATGGTATTTAGAAATTCTCAGTATACTTCCAATATGAAACCAAGTCAAAGTTTGGTGCATTGTTGAAGTTGGACCAAGGCCAGCTTTAAATTCAATGCATTATTCAACTACCCTTCCAGTGCACTTCCAAACCATAAAGCGTGCATTCTTAAACCACAGAAAAAGCATGCACTTTAGCTGGATGGACCGAGTCCTGATTATTCTGCAGTAGGCCCCATTTAACCCTACTGGGCCGACCATAGGCTAACTCTATGAGTGATATACCTACAAGACAGGCTTACTCTAATCAACCCCAACCCGTAGACGGTTTAACCCTTTGATCTAGGTGGCCAATACCAGTGTTGCTGAACCCAGTTCTCTGCAGCTCAGAAACCTTTTCTACAGACTCATGGAGCTTCCTGAGAGACAGACTGAGGACACACAGACCTGCACAAAAAAAACTGAAGTGCTTGTTTAAACGCCATATGTATTCATTGTAACCTTGCATAGACACACACGTGCATGGGTGCATGCCCACACATGCGAGCACACAGTGCCTGCTGATGAGCTGTTGTGGGAGACACAGGGAGTATCTGTGTCTACAGTAAAGCTTTCAACAGTTGAAAAGAAATGGATTTAATGTTCAGATGTGAATCTCTGACAAAAGAAATTTTGATAATTGCAGTGCTTCCTCAGGCATGAGATAACTCAATTAGATGGGATTGACTGATATCAAACATCATTTAGGGTTATAGGGACAAAAGGAGAGTCTGTATTAATACATGGACCCATTACTTAAATTCATTTACATCTCAGAGATGTGAAAAATTTTGTAACAAAAGCCTTGCAGGAGACCATAAAAAAGATCTTTTTGTAAAAATGTATCTCACAAGTCAATAAGAAAGAGGGAGTTTTGTTGTGAGTGGAGCAATCAGTATGTGAGTCACCAAATTGCAGGTCTTATCTCACTCCCTGCTGTGTGAACTGGATTTGAGCTGCAATTATTTGAATAGTATTTGACAATTAGTCATAGAGCTCCATCTTGTTAGGGCTTAAATTTGTGTCTTTGTCTTTTTATCTGTGATTTTTAAGTCTTGTTCAAAATATTCACAAGAATCATAAGAAGTTGGTAAAAACATTAAAACACAAGGAACTCACATAAATACGAACTAAAAGCACAAGTATGGCAAAGAGATCATATATGCAAAGAAAACAAGGCTCCATGGAAGGCAACCTGCGGTGTCTGTAGATATAAAAGGCCCATATAAAAAGGTATAAAAACATAAACAATTCCTATATTCAGGGGATTATACACTTATGAAAACACAGTTATGCATGTTACATTCTATTTCTGCCAACAGATCCTTTCTAAATGTTACACACTGGACCTGTATTACATCTCAGAGACACCTTTCCCTGACAGAGACATAAATAACAATATGCTAATGTTTTAACCACTGACTCTGAAGTATTAATTCTCATTTCCATCTGAATGAGGAAACAGTAATAACACAATTTCTACCGTAGCAACTGAGCACAGCGCGATGTTTAGAAAAGTTGCTGAACAAACCACTGAGACTATCAATGGCTATGATGTCTCTGGTTGCTGTTTTACGTGTTGCAGATTGTATCATTCTGTATTAAAACTCAATGCAAACTTTGCACTGCAGTCTAAAGGTCTTAAGGGTATTTGGCTAACGTTGTTATGTGTCTGTATAGTGGTTTTGAGGCAGAAAGGCTGAGTGTGTGCGTCTGTGTGTCTGTCTCTGGGTGAGCTCCAGGTCTGTTCTCTCTAAGCACTTCCATTCTAGTCATCTCCACTTTAAAGAAAGTAGCACAATGAAACTAACTAGAATTCAGGTAGAGAAGAATTAAAAACCTTGTACTAGCTTGACCTCTCTTCTTTTTTGTATTTCCAAGTTAAAGAATGATGGTAACCTAAATAATCATTTATTGCAAGAGGGTTTGTAAAGAATCCTTTGGATTGAGACATTTTTACTGCTGTATAGCGATATCTGACACACCTTATCTCAGGAGGTTTGGCTCTCTGCTGCAGAGAGAGGATCTCCTGGGGTTTTTTTTGAGCCAGAATTCAGACAATGTAAGCACAATGAACACAAAGCATTTTGTGGCACTTCATAATAAAGAATAATCTTAACCAACCAAGGCAGTTTGTTGTAGTTTTGTGTCTTGTCTTGTTTTAAGGTATAATGAAGTATTCAGTCAATCTCGATAAATACACAGCATAGAAATAGGAGCAGTATTGGAGCTGCTGTAGCTGCACTTAAGTGGTGAGTAATAAAGGTTTTTTCATTCCTTTTAAACTCTTTTGACCCCTTTATTTTCACCTCAGTTCAAGTAGCGTTTAAAGCAATTCATGCTAATTAAGTAAGTTTACCTTGAAGTCAGAAGAGCGTTGAGTTCATTTACATAGAAGAACACTCAACTCTCAGCTCTGCAGCACATACTTTGTATTAGATTTGTCAATATTGTATGTTTGAAGAGGGACTGGGCTAACACTGGTGCACAGTGTGCTCATTAGCACTCTTTAGGCTGGAAGCTATCTACCAGTAATGGGGCTGCCTGGAATGGATAAATACAGCAGTTTTTTAATTCTATATTTGAACAGTTAACAGCGGTCAAGTAGTTTATCACTTAAAGCCCCTGAAAACTTTGTTTCAATTTTGAAGTGATGATTGCTCTACCATTATGAAACAATGTATATTAAAAAATCACCTACGGTACTATTTTAGTGAACTTAAAACTGATCTGATTGAAATAACAGTGGACTAGCAACAATCATCCAAAAATTGTTCTGATTGGTGCTCAGAGAGTATGAGACATCACCTTTTTCTATAAATCTCTTAAGTTTATATTTTAGACCAGTTTGAAAATCGACTTATTTAATAGGCTATTTGTTACAAGTAGGCCTTATAATATCACTATTGCTGGTTCAACAGCTGCTCAATACAAACACTAAGAAAATAGTTTACTATATAGACACATTGTGCGCTGTGAACACACAGTGATGGACAGAGTCAAATATTGGAATTGGAAAAGATTTTTCTTCATTACTGAAACTTTTTCACCAGACAGAACTTTTAAGGGCTTGCTGTGCAAAACTTGTCAAGTGTGAAGAACTGCAGGAACATAATGCAATACTACTGCTAAAGAAAGTTGGAAATTGAAATACACTCAAAGAAGAGAAATTTAACACTTTCTGAAATGAAATTCAAATTTTTTTTTTTACCTCAATAACAACAATAAAGAACTGAAAACACAAGAGCCCGATGATGTTTCTGTGTACTGGAAGAGGGTCACATTGTTGTTTTCTTCTGGTCTATGGAGGCTATGGAGCTGCAGTCATGTGGGCTTCCAGTGACATTGCAGACATTAGCATGGGAAACTGACCAACTAACCTTCATCTTGCAGTGACTTTGAATCAAAGGTGACCTGGTTAGGCATCATTTCAGATGGCCCACACATCAGAGTAACAACTTTTCATGTGAATGCCAATTTTGATAGAGTCACTGCAGCTTTATTAAATTATTAAATTTAAGACAACTTTCTGTAAAAGTAGACAATGCCTTTTTATTAGATTATTATTAGATTATTAGATCATTC